CTCTCTCTCTCTCTCTCTCTCTCTCCTTCTCTCTCTCTCTCTCTCTCTCTCTCTCTTTTTTTCTCATTGGCTCGCTTGCTCTTTCGTACATCGGCGATCTTTCGAAGCCGCGTAACGTTCGTTCGAAAGTTTGGTGAGGGGAACAGGCCGAGATAGAGCTAGGCAAAAGGGGACTAGAGGAGAGAACAGGCCAGGTCGACGACCTCCGCACGTGGAATCGTTCAGAAGTAGGCCACACCGTGACATCACGCAAATGCAAGATGGCTGGTATCGCGCTGTGCTGGGAGAGACCCGGCACATTCTCACAAGTATGTGCTTCGCGCGCGCTACTCGGAGATAGAGTTTGTGTCATCGCGCGCCGCGCCGACGACGACGACGCCGACGGCGCGCGTTGTCGCGCGGGCGCGACGCGTCGGCCGCGCGTCCAGCTTCGGGCGCTTCGCGAACCGGCTTGCGGGAACACGAAGCGCGCACACGCCGCACAATCTGCTATCTAATGCTCGTGCTTTTCGCTCAACATGGCCGCTGCTTAGCGATCCGCTGAAAACGGCGCGTTTACGGCTTTATGCAAATTTTATGCGATGATTTTTGCATATTTTGCGTAAAAAAGTTTTGCGCAAAAAGTCAATGACAAGGCGAGTTGCGAGTTAATGAGTTACTCGTTACGAGCTACTTGTCGTGCGCTCAAATAAGCAAATTGAGTGGCAAGTTGCGAAATTGATGACGAGACAACTGAATGGTCGTCGCTTCTTTTTTTTTCGGACATACTTGGCTCTTTCCACCGTCATGTCAGCGATTATACAGGCCACTGCGCGTTGAAATCTTGATTCGCTTAATCGCAGAGTGTAATCGAGGACAAAGTGCGTTTCGCTATTCACTCGACGATGTGCGTATATCGTCATTCTTCGTGATTCCCTTTCGCGAGTGTATAGGAACGACGCGCGACGCGTGTGAATATCCATGCTGAATATTGCCGTGCTGCGAGTCAACCGTACGCCATAATATACGCGGTGTCCAAAAGTCATTTATTCACGAATTCTTCAATCCGGATGTCATTCGCTTATATTTAATAAAAAAATAAAAGCCTCTATCATTCTAAAGTTATAAACGTCTAAAAATGATAGCATTTCAATAAATTACAATCCGAGACAGCATAAATATCTATTTTACATATATGCAAATAATACATAGAAAATAATACCAGATGATTTTTCGGAAAGCTTTTAATGAAATTTTCACCGAGAAGAAATCGATTTCAAATTTTAAACAAGACAGTCTTTTAATATTTCCGTAATTTTTGAAACACCCCGTAGAAATGCGTACGGTGCAGGGAAGATCGCGAGCACGTTCTTTATTCGGCACGCGTATGCACGCGGGAATGCATCGCCGCGGCACGTATGCACTGCGGGACACCGCGGTACTGCAGCTGAATTCGACGGATATTATATTTTGGTGAGCCCCGGTGCATTACCGAAATACGTGCGCCGATTTTGTGCATCTGCATCCTAATTAACGCAATGCATTACCTGCTCATCTAATCTGCCCTTAAATGATTGTTGATAAACGATTGCAATCTGAGTCTGATAAACGATTGCAGTCTAATTATTAATACAAAATCACTGTAATTTTCACACGTGACTATTATATTTTATCTTTTGATAAGAAAAAACAAATATAAATTGCATACTTTTGATCAAATGCAATTAATAGTAATTTTGAATTAAAACACAGAATTGTTCCCCTTTTCACGTGAAATTTTCCCTGTTATTTGCTAGGCTGGGTAATTTTCTGATTAACGAAAGGGATAGGTGTAAGCGAGCCACGGGTAACAGGTAGCGGAAGTATGTTGCTGTCGAAAGCACGACTGCAATTACGCGTAACGATAGTGCTTATGTAATGCATATTTAAGTTGAGTGATGTTCGCGAATAGCGGCGTGTTGCGCGAATTCAAAGGAAAACAACGTCGTCTTCTGTATTGCATGATTTTTCAGCATGAGTGGCATTGAGATTGCGTAACACCCTTAGTCTTCCCTTACGCAAAACAGGAATGTAGCAGCCTTATATTGTATGATCATTGTATGGCGGCGCTGTTATTATCCAATTGAAATTAAATGACAAATAATTTTTATCATTTGTTCGTTAACAAGGAAACCTTTTCTTAGAATTTAATTTTTAATGTCTATTATGATGTAAAGCAATTTGCGTCATATATTTGTGATTAATGCTATTAAATTATTACGTTGTATTTATTTTTTTATATTTGTATGAATTTTTGTTAAAATAAATGATAATGATAATTAATGTAATTGCTTTATGATTTACTAGCTCAAGTAGTAGTAAGTCAAATTTTCTTGCTAAGTAAACTTTGAATTACTACTAAATAGACAGATTAATTACTATTAATTTGTGAAAATTTTTAAATAAAGCAGAAAGAATTATTGATATTTTGTAGAAAAAAATTTACAATACAATAATAAATAATTAAAAATTATATATGCATATGCAACATACTCAAAAGGTAATTTAGTACAAATACCGACAATATAAAAAAATAATCTCAATCGTAGGTAAATTAGAAATCATTTTGATAATAGATAAATTAGAGCTGCGACAAATTACAGATCCGACTATAGGTAAATTTCATAACTGAAATGTTATATTGAAATATATAGGTGGCGTTGGTGTAGAGCTAACCTGGCCGCCTGCTGGCCGCCATTTCGTTGAGTGTAAGAGGATGCAGTTGATTTTGCTTGTTTTACTTGCTCAGTAAATTCTCACAATACATCTGGCAAGTAATTCTCACGTCTCGTCAGAATGACGCAGTTTCTGCCGCCGAATTTGCTAGCGTTGTTCGCGCCACGTGATCCGATTCCGTATTTGCCACCGGCTAGCAAGCTCCCGCACGAGAAGAAGAACGGCGGCTATGTCGGCGTGGGAACTTTCCTCAAGTATTTCGAAGTAAGGGAAGCGCAGTGTTAGTTTTAAGGTCGATGGCGAAACTATACCCGCGAAACTTTATATATGATTATATTATGTTTATGTGAAATGAAGTGTAAAGAAAGGAGTAATTTTTTAACTATTAATTTTTGCAATAGAAATATATATGTTGTATAAATATTACATCTTACTGTGTCACTTCATGAAAGTAAATATTCTTTTTTTCATAGGATCCCAAGGAAACACCACCACCTGTACGTGTAGAGACACGAGAAGAACGTTTAGAACGTAGAAGAAGAGAACGCGCGGAGCAAGTTGCATATAAGCTTGAACAAGAAATTGCAGTATGGGATCCAGCTGGAATTGTCAATGTGACAGCAGATCCCTTCAAGACTCTCTTTGTAGCTCGAATTGTGAGTTATATTAATGTGTTATATGTATCATTAAGCTAGCATGTAAATAAGCAATTTGGGATACTAATATATGTTGACTTTTTTTTCCTTACAGAATTATGATACCTCAGAATCAAAACTGAGAAGAGAATTTGAAGTATATGGTCCGGTAAAAAAGGTAAATGGTTTACTTTAAAGCAAACGTATTTTTACAACAATAATGTAACGAAAATTTTCTTATTTTTGCCTTTTTGCAGATTGTGGTAATACATAATACAATTAATGGCAAGCCTAGGGGATATGCTTTCATTGAATATGAACATGAACGAGATATGCATTGTAAGTAGCAACAGCTGAGAAAGGTAAAACCAAAAGCTAAAGAAAATGTTAGCCTTGTCGCGAAGCTCAATGAGCCCCGTTTAGTCCGGAATTTCATACTTAGCGTCACTTCCAGCTAGATATAAGGGGGACAGGGAATGAGTAGTTAGGCTACCCGTTTTCATTGGTACTTAAACCAAACGGTACCGTTTGGGGAAGGGGGGTTCCCACCATACGTACACCCATGCAGGAATATCGTTCTGTAAATGCATAAATATGGTAAAAGCGAAACGAACGAACCGAACAAACAAACAAACGACGTGAACGTTTATTGGCTGTCTTTGATTAATGCAGTTTTTATCTTGTTCTTGGTACAGCGTGGTGGCCGCTGCCGGCAACTAGTGCCGTTCACTATTCCATGCAAAATCCCTGAACCTGCCTGATAAGATAGGTTTGTATGTGTGGTAAGATCCAACATACAACAACGTTTGTTAGCGTCTTACTTGCTTACCCTATTTATCGTATCTGATTTCGTTGAGCGACGCGCGCGGTTTCGGTCGGGTTTGCAACGGGCGTTCGCGATGATACCTGCCACGCTTTCACGGGGTTTATCAACCCGGATTTTGACGAATACGCCCGAAAATGACGGTTTTTTTCTCTTAGAACACGTATCGTTAAGATTACTCGTGAATTCGTGGATCTGTGGAGTCTAGAATCCGCGGTATCGCAATTGGTAGAATCTATGAATTCCGAGATTCGCGGATATTAGTGTCTACGGATCCGAGAATCGCGTGAAAGTTAGCATTCTACATTGAAATTGATTGGTGAGCCTTTAGGATGAAGGTTCAGGGACACACTTGGGAACACCGCGATTTAGGTACTCGTTTATATGAGCGAACACGTAGACCGGAATGTTTCGTACACATATTTCTTATTCTATACACAAATAGCAGGATAATATTTCACAACTAGAACAACCACTGCAATTCTGTAGCTTGAAAGTAGGAAGATCAAAATCTTATGAACAAATATTTCTTTCTACCTTCATGTTATAGAATGATACTAGCTCTTTTATCATCATGACGTTAATACTCTGAAATGGGATGAGCTTCCATCCCGCGACATTGTTATGCATTTACACGAAATAGCTAGCCCATCCGCTTATTTTAACATTCTCAGGTGCATTTTTAGATTTTTTTAGATTTTAGCTTTAATTATTTTATGATAGATTTTTAAAACATTTAATGTTTAACGACAAGCTTGAAATGTAGGGACTAATCGTGAGAAGTGCCATGATTGATAATATTTGAATATATATTTTTTCCAATTCAAATGTGTAAATAGTTTATTAGTAGATTTAGACAAAGAAAAAAAAAAAAAGGAAAACAATTGCACGAAAAACAAAAAATTCAGAATATAACATGAAATATGTGATTATTTGTTTAAATGCTGTTTTGTTTTAAGGATATCCGATCATTATTTGATATTTACTGGATAAAGCGACTTAAAATTACACAAGTCCTTAATCATATCAATTTCGATATAGAATACTAATTTCTCTTGACATTCGATTGATTTCTTTCTCTTGTTTTGTAATATCGCTTTTTACGAAAATGTGATCGGATAAGGCACATGCAGCACTAACGGATTGTAGAATTTGTGGATTTCAATCTTTTGGATTATCAAATCTGTGAAAGACGTCCAATCCTTGTGAATTCTAAAATTTTTGGATCCCAAAGCATCCGAGAAATTTTAGAGATTCCCAGGGCTTCGATTTCCAAGATTGAATCTCCAAATCTACGATACGACATGCGATATGCGACGCGACAAATAAATAAACGATAATAAGCTTCCTTCCCCCCTAGAGTCAGAAAAAAAAGATCAAATTAGTGAAGCGAAAATAGTATCTCGTGGTATCTTGCCTTTAACATTACGCTAAAATAATAATTTACTACTAGAACATTGTAACACATATCATAAGTATATACGAAATGCGCACGGTTTGATCGTAAGTAGAATCAATGAAAGCGCACCAGGTAAACACACTGTAAACCTCTTCGGAGATCGAACGAACGAACGAACGTATGAAGACTGGGCATCTTCGCAATGAGTAGTCTCCTCGCGAGTCTCTTACGAGTTCATTTCACAATTAGACCGTACCTCTAAGCTTTGTGTTAAACTTCCGTACGTAAGTAGCCGCGGTAGGTATTTTTTGTATTTGCTATACTTTTTTGGATCTTAAACAACAAGTAGATTTAAGCCGCTCTCTGAGGTCCAGTCTCTGCTACCGATCGTTGCGCGGATGCAGCTACGGCTTGTGACGCGCTCTCGTTTTACATCGTAAAATGCAATATAGGATGCGACAGCGAACTTCGCATTTCAAGATCGTTGTGACGTCTTTTATAGGATCATCACAAGCAAGGGTATTTGCTAAAGGAAGGGAAAGGAAAATATCTAAAAATTTTACGTGATAAAAATGTGTGGTTCTGAATCAAATTTGTATTATTTTTTTATTTCGAAGTCAAATATTTACTTTATAGTTAGAATTAATTTTGCGCAATATGCTGCAATTAATGTTGCAGTTTTTTTTTTTTTAAGAACTTGTTTCTTGAATTTTATTTGACGTGGGGACAATCTCTCTTTTTTATTCACGTAAGTATGCTATCGTTCTGCGTTAATGCGAATATTACGAATATTACGTATTTCACTGCATTTTACATGATAAAACGACACATGCCGACAAGCGGATTTGCACGCGATCGGCCGCAGCTCGTCTCACCACCTCGCTACATCTGATGATCGTTTTCAAAGATTCTATAATTGTTAGAATCATTGATCCTGCTGCGATAGCAGCATTGGATCGGAGATACAAATGCTTCCTCAGTACTTTAGCAAGTACTTCTCTTCAGGATATTCAGTGAAAAAGTATACTGTCATTATCAATTTGAGATTTGCGAGTCTCTCGCTCAATTCTAAGGTTTCTAAAATGTAACGCCTACCGAGCAAATAATGGAAGGAGTGACTCTTTCGAATGACTGCCGTTCGCAGTTTATCTTATTCCGCAAAATCGCGGGCAAAATTCAATCGATTCTCTTTTTTTTCTTCTTACGATTCCTTATTCGAATAGATATCTCGAGCATTTCTTTGAAAAAGGATCTGCGGAACCGAGAATCTTTCGGATTTAGTGATGCCCGCTTGATCTTATACCAGATCGAAGCATTCGTGCATCAAAGAAATTTTGGATTCTAAAATTGACGGGGGTTTTGAAAAAATTTGCGAATTCTAAAATTCACAAATCCTCGAAATCACGGGATTCTGTGGACTGGAGATTTCGCATGTTCGAAGATTTCTACGAATCCAAGGATCTGCGGATTCCAGTCGATTTTCTTTTTTTTTCTCTTTTTTTTTGGAGGTTCCGTAGGTCCGAGAATTATTGGATTATGAGATCTGAGGATTCTAGAAGCTATCTCTGTGAGTCCTGGAATGTATACATGCGAAAACACGTGGATTCGAGAATCAATGACTCGAAGAAGTTATGAATTGTAATATCTTTGCTTTACAAAATAATTCTCAATTTCGATAATGTTCGATTTTTAATGTCGCCCAGACAATTTGGAATCTCGAAGTCGACTAATTCCAGGACTCGCAGTTCCAGAAATCTCGCGTTTGGTTCCTCGGAGTTCGTCGGGACGATAGAACGGTCTCGCTGTAGTCAATAAATCATTCAGGCGCGTGGATCCGCTAGCGTACAGTAATTTCTAATCGGTACCTTTTAGCTGCGTATAAGCATGCGGATGGTAAGAAAATAGATGGTCGCAGAGTGTTGGTCGATGTCGAACGGGCAAGAACGGTAAAGGGCTGGCTGCCCCGGCGACTTGGCGGCGGCCTAGGTGGTACTCGAAGAGGTGGTCCTGACGTTAACATCAAGCATTCGGGACGGGAGGATAACGAAAGGGAGCGAGAGCGGTATCGCTTGGAACGCGAGAGAGAGACCACGGGACGCGGCCTTGACAGAGACAGGTGAGTTAGCAATAAAGAAATAAACAAAAAAAAAATATATATATACATATATACATAAATAATTTTTAATTTGTTGCTTTAGGGATCGCGATCGTCTGGATAGAGAACGTCGCAGATCACGCGATCGCAAACGTAGAAGCAGGAGCAGATCGCGCGAGCGCAAGCGTAGGCGTAGCCGCGACCGACTGCCGGATCCCGATATCGAGGAAATCGAACGACCACGCGACAGAAGAGATCGCGAACGCGACCGTGATCGGGATCGCAAAAGGCGGCGTTCACGCAGCAACGATCGTGATCGAGATAGAGATCGTAAACGAGACAAGCGGGATAGAGATCGCGATCGCAGAGATAGGAAAGATCGTGGCGATCGTCAGGATGAAGACACAAAAGAGATTCGAATTAAAGAAGAGCCTTTGGATGGTAAGTTTAAAGAAAAGGAAATTTTCTAAAATTTCGATTTGTTTTAAGAAAAGATGAATAAACATTCTATATACAGGATGTTTCTATACTCGATGTTCTTGTAATGACAGATTTTCTGCCCAATTTGGATTTCGAGCGAAAATATTGAAGTACTAATAGTTTCAAATGTTTTGTAAAGAACTTCTTGTATTTTCTATATTTTCAAAATTAATATTATAAATGGATTTTGATAAAATTTTAACTTTAAATTATAAAGATACACAGGGTATCCCAGACCGTATCATTTATTAATAGATTTCTGAAATAATTTAGAGACGAAAATCTTTATATCAAAGTATCGAGGTTATAATAGTTTTTGGAAAGAAAATATTTAAAGTTAAACAATTAAACAGTTTGTTAAACATTCATACGCTGAGACATCGCAAATTGATTTTTTTGTATCTTTATCATATGAGAAACAAAAATCAATATGTAACGATGTCTGAACGTGTGAATTTTTGACAAACTGATTGGTGAACTTGAAATACTTTCTTTCAAAAATTATTACAGCCTTGATATTTTTATATAAAAATTTTTATTTTTCAATTCTCTCAAGATCTATTAATAGATGAGACGGTCTGGGATACCTGTATAGATATAAAGTTAGAAAGTTGTAATGCTGAAAATTGAAAAGACAAATAATAAATGTGATAAATGATCTTTCTCGATCTTTCTGTTTGTTCCAAAAATCGACTACAAATTAGTCAGAGAATCTGTAATTAAAAAGAAATCTCCAATTTTTTGGACATTTTTATATATGTGTGTGTTAGTATGTGTATGTGTTATAAATGAATGTTCTAAAATGTCAAATTTTTATCTCTAGATTATCCGGACTATAGCAATACGTTTGCAACGTCGGGCTCATACTTTACCGCAGTCAAGTACGAGGATGATAACGATCAAGAGGTGGAGGAGAAATACCGGATTCCAGAGGGTCGGCCCGACCCGCCTCCGTACAACAATTACGATTCGGTACAAGATTATTGATCTCGGTAGTACATGTTTCCGTCGTGTCCCTTTTTTTTCACGGTAAGCTGTCGCCGCATTATTGTCGTGTTGCCTCTACTATTAGCATAATAACGAATTAGCTCTTTCAGGAGCGAACCAAGTCGATCGTTATTCATCTGTACACGTTATTTAAATAATATATTTGTACAATTGTCCAAAAGACGTTATTAATATCAAAAAAAAAAATTTATTGAATTTATTTGCAGAATTTTTAAGATATGATAATTGCAATGATAAATGAAATAAATGATTTATTACAATAAAAATAAAATAAAAAATAATTTTGTACTTATTTAATTTTCATCATGAGAATTAGTTGCTAAAGATTAAATTTAGTGTGTCACTTATATATAAAAGTAACTGGTAAATTGTACAAATTGCATTATCGTCTATAAAAGAGTTAATGGCAGTTTTATTGAATTACTGTGGATTCGTAAAGATGCAGTCTCACACTAATTCACAATATTTTTGATCACTGTTTTTCTCTTTATCTCTTTCTATCAATCAATCTTGATAAGATTAAATTCTCAAAAAAGAAAACGATTTGACGCTCTTTTTAACGAATTAATGAGCAGAATAAAAAATTGTAGCAGATTATATCTCACGAACTTTCGCGATATAAAAAAAAAAATGCGCATTCTAATTGACTCAGTACTATATTGCTAAAATGTTATAGTTTAAGTATGACCGTCGAGATATGTACATAAGTATATACATATATATATATATATATATAAATTTAATTCTTTCATGATTGCTACATGTATATTTATATGTTCGAATAAAATAAATCATACGATTAATTTGTTATGTATGCTCCTCTGCTCCTTTTTTATCACATTAAACAAAAATTATTTCGTTATTTTGTCCTAAAATTTGATTCTAAAATAAATTTTTGATCCGTACAAGTATAAAGCGGCATAAAAAATGATGTTAGTATGCGAAATGAGACGCGATCTTGATTTTATATATTGCTCTGCAATTCTGCCAATCGATTCGTATATACTAACTTGATCGTTTGATATGCCAGAACGTCATGCAAGTGCCAACTTTTGCGGTGAGCAAAACAAAAGTACGGTCGATTAATGCGGTTTAATGCTCAAATGAAATAGTGTAACAAAATAATATATATTTTATCTTTAATTTTTATTCTCAAGGAAATTTAATTTTTCCTAACGAAAAAAATCGTTGATTATATTTTATCGTAATTCGATCATATTATTATCATATATATGAAGCTATTCTGCCTATTTTAATTTAATTATATTGTTTCTTAATTAAATGATTTGATTTTATGCAGCACAATATTGATTTGTTTTTAATTATTTTGAATATTTTTTGGGATCATTGTTTCAGGGATATCAATATGCCGCATTTAAGTAGTCTGCATCACGACACATCTAGTAATTGCGAGCGACAGCCTTTCATCGTTAATTGGGACGTCATGTAACACCGTTCCTTCCAACTAATTCCCGTTGCGAACTCCTTATCGCTCGCGCGATGTTCTCGCTAACTGCCCGATACGTACATTAGCGATCGCCTTCCGGAAATTGCAATCTCTCGTCAGTGCTTCCTTGCTTTACCGTGCACCTGCCGAAACTGCACTCTAGGATTTATCGTTCGTGACTTTTTCGAATCGGCGATAGCAAATTGCTTCTGTACGTCGACTTTACAGTCAAAAATTTTTTTGATTTTTTATCAACAAGATTTTCATTACACGAACTCTCGGTTCAGCAAATTTCTACAGAATGGACTGCTATTTACTCCAATCTTTATATTTACGAGAACGATTTAAAACAGAAAGTTTTCATTGAACCGTAAAATTGTGGCATAATAATGGAATAAATTAAAAAAAAATTTACGCGTTAAAATTAAAAAATAGATTTAATGTTCTTTATAATATCAATAGATAAAATAATGTAATAATTAAAAAAGCTTATGTTAATAGAAAAATTCTAATTTAAATTTAAGTTAAGTTTGATTTTTTTTCGACGCATTTGAGGCGCGCTTCTAAGACGGGAAGACGCTTGTTCCATAAATATTTTTACGGCAGGCACCAATTTTTCAACGGAATGCCTGTACTGTACATGTACCGATGGTTACTGGAACATTGACATTTCAGTAGATCGGTTTAGTCCCGAGGATTCCCTGGGGATCCAGCGAAATGGGTTGATGTTTAGTATTCTGGCGGCGGAAGTGATATCCGTAGAGAGCGTGTAAGTTGATATAATGTATCGCGCTGACAGGGTTAGGCGGAATGGTCGAATAGATATATAGTAAGATAGTGAGATAGCAGATAGTTGTATCAGATATTACATACGCAGAATGTTTATAAAGTCTATGCTTTCGCATGGTATATATTTTCTTGAAATTGGTATTTATAATGCGAAGTAAAGTAAAAATCGATATTAAGCACGCAAGATATTTATAATCTCTTTAACGTTATTTTTCCGGGCACTTACCTAATATGTATGTTTATCACATAACAATATGAGGTCATTGCGAATAAAATAAATATGTATTGTCACATGTATAGTCACATTGGCAGCAAATGTAATATGTAAAATCGTGAATAAGTTGAATTGTGAATAAAGCAATTGTGAATAAGGTGAATGCACAATCACACTCAATCGATATAATGATTAATTTTACTCACCGATTTGTCGTCGCCGCTGTTCCTCGCCATTGTCGTTCCTCGCTGTAGTTAATCTTCGCCATCGTTGTCGTTGATTCTCGTCGTTGATTCTCGCCATTGATTCTCGCTGATGTTGTTTCTCACGTTCATTGATCCTTGCTGTTGTAGATTCTCGTTGTTCCTTTAGCTGTTGCCATTGTCGCTGTAATCTGAAAAAAGAAAGAATCGATTAAAGAACCTATTAAAGAATCGATCGAACAAAATGCGACTAATTACAATTGTGCGTACTAAATAAAACGATATGAACATTGTCGCCATTTGTACGACGTACTTTGGATATTTTTGTCGGGACAAAGTAACATATGTCGAAATATCGCGATCACAGGCGGCAATTGATATGTCATTCAATTTGTCAGTCAATTAAACGTTCACTCTCATACAATACTATATTTCTGACGCGAAAGGGACAAATACGAAACAATTACGCTGCAATATTACCGCAAAAGAGACACGACGCGACGCGATGTAACGAATTTCAAGATGTCACTACGTGAGTCAAGTGAAAAATAAGCACGCACTTCGCGCTACGTATGAGAAAGATCTAAACTTGAATTCACAAAAGAAGAATGTTAGTAATAACATTCGATTTTTAATTTGTGTCGAATTGTAATCAGATTGAGTTTTTGCAATACTTACATCAATTTGTATAAATCTGCGTATGCTTCATGTAGTGAAAGCTAGTCCCGCGTCTTCCCACTACGTGAAGCACATGCAGATTTATATCTGTTTATGTAAATATCGTAAAAATGAATCTGAATACAATAATCTTATTTGGCACACGTAGAAAATTCACAAGAACATAATTAGTAACATCTTTCTTCTATAAATTTTAATCAGCTAGCCGTTATATGTAACATAAAACGCGTGTCCATTGGTCGTTTGACTCACGTAGTCTTCACTTCCCTCGCACTACGTTTCTCGCCGGTACTGACTGCGGTGCATATCTCTCTCGAGTAGTCATCCGTATCGTTCCTGAGCAATATGTTTCGCATGCAATCGAGCGTCGAGGATGTCGAATCGAATGACGGACGATCGCGTGAAGTATCAATTGGCGCTTGCTCTCGTGATGAATAGCCATATTTCGCTTCACATTGGCACGACATGGTAAGTCTTATTCCAGTGAAGTTCTATATCATTTTCTCATTCAAATCGATATAATCAAGCATTATCGAATGACTTTTACATCTTTTGTGCAAAGAATGTAGAGTGTAAGTATGGAAATTATGGGCAATTGTGTGAGACATTGGTACTTGTAATCGGAATAAACCCGTGATAAATTTTATTATGCATATATTTGCAGGTTTATACGTGCTGATATAAATATGGTGAAATTATATAAATAGCGATTAATTAATTAATTATAGCGATATTCTGATGTTTGTTATTGTGCTCCGGTTCGATGCGACGAAGCATTCAATAAATTCTATTTCATTGATATTGTTTTATATCATTTTTTTTTTTATATTAAGGTTTACACGATTTAAACATTGATATTATCGAGAGATCTTTCGGAATTCTTTATTTTGGGAATTCAATGAAATATGCAAATGTTAAAGCTGTGTTCTAAGATGCACGGGCAGTGCTGGAAACCTATAGCGTAACATAAACTATAGATTGCCAGTACTGGTAGTAAATATTAAAAACGCAGCCTAGATCAAGTAACAAGCAATATGAAATATCGATTGGCACCCCTGATCGTAGTTATGAAATTTCAAAACAAACGCCAGTTTATTTGTTGATGAGTACTATATGTAGATATAGATGTTGATATAAATCGTGAAAGTTAATATGATTATACGAAATTCATTTAATACATCGTGAAAATTGATAGACGTTTAGTATCATTTAAATTCTCTCTGTTTGCTTTCGTACGTAGCACAAAGTGCGATATGTATTTGTTTGTCTCAGTGAATGTTTGTCTCACCTTCAGTGATTGCGTCACGTCTAGAGTCTATTGTCAGTTTTGCCAGTCTGAATCGCGGTGTAATCGCTCCGTGTTTTTCTCATATCTTTCAGAGTACAATATCATGTCTGAGTGAATGTGGAAATGTTGAGAGGTAATCGACCGCACGGAGTATCAATTGGCGGCCGCAATCGCGATTATCAGCGATATTTCAATATATATTCTGAGGCGGCGCGACGAACGAAACATTCGGTAAGTAATTGAGGTTATTTTTATCATTTTTGCTAATCTCGCGCGACTGAATATTAATAATATGGAGTAAATTTTCGGGATAGTTAATAATTAATTGTTTGTTGACTTTTAGTATATTTGTTCCGCATTTGATATATTTTGCATTTCGAGACTATGTTTACATTTCGCATTGCGGTCTGGAGTTGATGTCGCATTATTTTGTATTATTTGTTACAGTACGTCCTATTTCTGAGCAACCGCGAGAAACGCAAGCGAGAAATACTCAACGCGAATCGCGTTATTCATTCGTGAAAAAGGTATTTTATGAATAAAATTCGATATTGCGTCGGAAATGTCGGGAGTGCCGTGCAAAATGGCGGGCGAT